TCAGTCTAGAAAGACATTCTCCACAAGACCCTTCTGAGTGTTCTGCCCAGTGCTCCATGAATCACAGGTTCTTTCAGTTTGACTGGTACAAAAAGGCACTATTCCCAGCCCCGTGTCGACGCTAGGCACTGTTTCCAAGTCCTTTGCGTGTTTTCCCAGTGTTGTGCAGTTTCCTCACACACGTGTTCTGATCAGGAGTCTGAATGCCGGAGGGAGACCCTCGCCGATCTCCGGACTCTCTCTGTGCAGCTCGTTACTCTCCAGTGCTGTCCCATGCAGTCTGCCCGCCTTGGTCTCTCCGCTGCGTCTCCTCAACGTGGGAGTCTGCCAGGCTGTCCCTCAGCTTCCCTTCCCTGTGTCGCAGCCTGGAATTTTCTGTGCAGTAAGCTGGGGCAGCCGTCGGGCCCACCCCTTTTTTTTCCTGGCTCTCAGGGGTTATTGCCCTCCATTGCCTCATGTCCAGTGTCTTCGAAACCATTGTTTTATGTATTTGTCCTTTATTTTTTGGTTATTTTAGGATGAAGGGAATCTGGTCTTTGTTACTCTATCTTGGACAGAAGCCCCATTTGGGCGAAAAAAATTGTGCATTCATGTATGTGTGAGTGCTCTGCGTGTGTTAGTATGCATTGTGTGTTTGTGTTAGTATGCAGTGTGCATGTTAGTATGCATTGTATGTTAGTATGCAGTGTTAGTATGCATTGTGTGTGTTAATATGTATTGCATGTGTGTTAGTATGCATTGTGTGTTAGCATGCATTGTGTGTTAGTATGCACTGCATGTGTTAGTGTGCATTGTGTGTGTTAATATACATTGCCTGTGTGTTAGTATGCAGTGTGTGTTTGTATTGTGTGTGTGCGTGTGTGTGTGTTAGTATGTACTGGGGGACAAATCCTAAAAATTATAAACCAACTGTTAACTCTGATGAGTGAGACTACAGGAGACTTCCATTTTATGTTATTTTTTTGACGTTTGATGGTTTAATGAAAAGTGTGAATTACTTTGTAATCAGAAACAATCATAGAAAGACAGAACATGGAAAAAGAAACTATGAAGGACAAGAGATTTAGCACTGTGAAACAAAATGCACCCACAATGAACAGGTTTCAGCCCAAGCACCCTCTGCAGGAGCTGTCCTGTGACATCTCCCCCAGCAACGGGCAGGAAAGCCTGTGCCCGTGTGGCGGCGCCAGCCCACACACCGTCAGGCCTTCTGCTGTTCTGCTGACCTGACTGGTGCACAGTGGTGTGGAGGGGAGTTTTAATGTGGCTGACATCGAGCTCTGCTTTCTCGGCTGTCATGGTTAAGAGCTGAGCCTTTGTGGTTTGCAGATGACTCTACTGCAGGGTTTTAACCCGCGAAGAGGGGCAGCCACTTTCCCGTGCCTCTCTGCCTGCATCCTGCCTCCAGCTCCCCTGACTTCTCTGGTTGATGTTGTGTTCAGAGCCAAGGCTCTTGGTGCCATCTGATCTCTGCAGCCACATGCCAGTTTATATCCCAGAGCATCTCGGACCCCAAACCAAACTCACCATCACCCTTCCTTCTTTCTTTCCACTGAGAAGGCCCCATGCCACCATTTGTCCTGATGCCTGGGCATCATGCCACACCCCAGGGTCACTAAGTCACCATTATTCTCTTGCATTAAGTATTTCTGCATGCAGTATAGTGACTCACCAGGGCCCACGGCTTGGGATCCTATGTCGAATCCCAGCTCTGCCTCAGGTGTGCTGTGCACCCTTGAATATGTATCTGACTTCATTCTTGGAATCTCTGTTTCCTCATCTGTAAAATGGGGATTGTCATAACTGTCCATGACTGTACCTAACTCACGTGTGATTATGAGGGTCTCATGAGAAGATCCATGCAAATTGCTTAGCACCATGCCAGGCGTGGCACATGCTCCACAAATGTCTGTCTGGTACCTCCCATGGGCAGGCCTGGCTGGAGGAGCTGGGGGTGGGCAAAGGCCAAGGCCCCCACATGGCGGACCTGACTTCCCCTGGGGGCCGGTAATAAACAGATCAAGCGACAAGCGGAGAAAAGCTGCCACAGACCACTGAGTGATCACAATGAAACAGGCAAGAAAGTAGCAGGAGGAATCTTCCTTCCTTACATGGGGTACATGGGGAGGGCCTCCCTGGGGCACTGATGGAGGCCATCCATGACAGATCTGCGTGATGGCTGGTGCAGAGGCCCTGAGCAGGAAGAACTTGCATGGACGAGGGGATAGAAGGGGAAGACGAGGGCAAGCATGGCCGATGGGAAGTGAGCAAGGGAGGAGGGCAGCGGTGACTCAGAGGCAGGCCTGGCCCTGAGGCCGCAGTAGGTGCTGGCTTCATTCTCAGTGCACTGGGGAGGCCACTGGAGGGCTCGGTCTGACTCTTCAAATGACCCTGCTGTTTCAAGAAAATACTGGGACAGTATAGTAAAACCACCCCCCAAACTGAGAGGGAACCAAGAGACCAAAGAATGACTCTGACAAGTCCAGCTTGGTAAGTTAGACTTTATCAGAGGTTACTTACTAGGGCACTTGCTCCTGGGCGGCACAGGAATTTCTTCCACCGGAGCTTTTTGCATGTAAAATCCCCGCATCTGCCCACCCTGTGGTTTTGCTTTAAATCTCTTCCCAACGAGTAATGTAGTGTTTTTACATTGTATCTGTGCTTGTTCACAGCGAAACAAATCACGCAGGTGTAGCACCATCATAACTGTCATGCAACCCAGGTTATGTTAATAATATTAGAATTTTTCACTAGTTGAGGATTTTATTAATGGTACCACAGTTAGCCAAAGGGCACTATAGGACAGCCAAAGCAGCTCTAAAGCCGTCAGGACCGGTCTGAACTGGCCGTTTCAAGACAAGAAAGTGCTGGGCACTTTCCCAGGGCGCAGTAGTTATCTTGGTACCTGCCTAGTCTACTTTGCAACAGCTTTGCTGGGCGCTCCAGATGGCACAGTGTTTCTGTCGTGTGGTGGGGAACCTGCAGTTCTTCCCTCACCAGCCCCCCAAGGAGTGGAGAAGGCCTCGCAGCGGTGAGAGCAGGGTGGGGAGGACAGGGAGGAGCTGTTGTCACATTTTGGGCAAGAAACCCATGGAGGCTGAGGAGCTCCTTGGCAGTGGTGACGAAGAGATTGGCCCGATTCAGGCTGTTTGGTGCATCCAGTGACACTAGGCGACCTGGATGGGGGCAGGAAGGGGTGAATCAAGGATGGCTGCTAAGTCTTTTTTAAAAAATGTTTTTGAAGTTTTATTTCTAAAACTGTCATAAAGTAGAACATAGAATTTACCATTTTGACCATTTTTAGGAGCACAATTCAGTGGCCTTCGGCACATTCGTGTTGTGCGACCATCACTACCATCCATCCCAGAACCGTTAGATCTTCCTCAGCTCCCGGTGTCCCCACCCCGGCACCCCCATTCTACCTTCTGTCTCCTCCAGGAACCTCATATGAGTGGGATCGTGCGGTGTTTGTCCTTTCACGCCTGCCTTATTTTACCAAGTGTCTTTCATGGGCTTTTCTTCCTCTTCTTTTCAGATGTTTTTGGTGGAGGCTCTGAAATCACAGATGTGCTCCATACGGATGTGTCAGGCTTGGCATATCCAGTAGAGATGCCAAGTCATCGTGAATGTTCCTGGGCGGAGCTCAGAGGGGAGGTCTGGCTGGAGAGGTGTGTTTGAGCAGCAGCAGCAGCATAGGGACAGTATTTAGATCCAGAATCCTTTCTTGTGGCCTGGGAGGCGCAGCGTCGTTCAGGGGAGGGGCCTCAAACTCAGGTGGCCGTGGGGGCTGCCGGGTGGATCATTTAAATAGGGGAGGGGGACCAGCTGCTGCCCCACCTAGCGTCTGTCGCCCAAAGAAATGAGCCTCCATGTGGCCATGTCTTCACATTTTTTATGAGCAAGCAGACAACACTGTTCAGAGGCTGGGAATGAATCCCAGGATGTAGAGTCTGGACTCAGAAGAGCCACCTAGGCTGGAAATCGAGATTTAGAAATTAAGAGGATACACATAGAAGGTGACGGAAGCCAAGGACACGGATGTGGTTAGCCAGGGAGGGATGGACGGGCAAAGAGAAGAGAATCTAGCTAGATCCAAGCTCCGTGGATCACCTGCCACCCAAGGACCGGGCAGTGAAGAGGGAGTGTGGAGTGACAAAAACAATCGTCAGAACCCCATGTGATCACCATGGGGCTCAAATGAGAAATAACATGCGTGTGAACCTTTTTGGTGCTGTGAGAGGCCTGGCACTGAGGAGAAGTACAGGGATGTGGGAGGGGCGGGGAACAACCAGGGCACCGCGACACCAGCAGGAGCAGGAAGCTGCGGGGCCGGGGGAGGGGATCTCAGATCCAGCACCCACAGGTGCAGCCACAGCCAGAGACGCGGGAAGGTGGGGGAGAAACAGCCCAACTTCTGTCTCGTGTCACCCCCCAGTGTCCTGCGGCTTCCTGCCTTTGGTCACACACAGAGGAAGCCAGTGGGCAGAGTCCTCCTCCTGGGGCACAGGGCGGGGCAGAGAAGGGCAGAGATCGGACAGTGGGTTGAGGGAGTGGAGGATGGCCAGCTCTTGCCATGTAAGTGTTAGCTGTTATTTTATTATTTTTAATAAAAACCAGTGCTGAGAAGCGTAACTGGCTGGGGATATGCGGGATGAATTGAAGAAAGGCCCTGCGTGTTCGGAGCCTGCTGGAACCACGCCTCCCCAAGTTCGCAGAGCCTGCGATCCCTCCTTCCAAGCCCTCTTTCCTCTTCAAGTGTGTCTACTGCAAGCTCCCACCCGGCCTTTGACCCCTCTTTGGAAGGGACCTGTGCTCTCTGCTCACCTCCTGTGTCGTTGCTGCCTCCTTAAACCACCCCCCTACCCTTCGCTAACTGCGCCCGTGCCTCGCGCCTCCTGCACTCGGTTTCATTTCCCCATTCCCACTTTGGAAACTCCTTGCTCCTGGCATTGTTAACGACACATATTTGCATTTTCTATTTTTGTTTTCTGTTTTTTCAGACTGGCAGACTAGACCTGAAATGAAAGAGTCGGATCCAAAGAATGACATTTCGGAAGACAAAACATCCGCCAGGGTGGCCACGGGGGAACCCGCGAGGACTGGAGCCTGGGGTCCCGCCGTAGGAGGCGCGTGGCGACTGGGCGGCTGGCCGGAGGGGCAGCATGGGGATGCCCGGACAGGGCGGGAGGGGCTGGGACTTCCCCAAGGGAGCAAACTCCCCGGGGAGCCAGGCCCCGAATGCGGAGAACGGAAGGGATTTACTAACCAGAGCCCTACCCTGGTCCCACCCAGGCTGGACGAGCCCACGGAAAAGGGGGCCTGCCCGCTGGCAAGGCCTGGGAAGAACTCCAGCGCTTCAGAGCTCGGCAAGGCCCCGGTGCCCTGCGCGGAGAGGAAACCCTTCGACTGCAGCGAGTGTGGCAAGGCATTCAGCCGAAGCTCTTCCCTGATCAAACACCAAAGGATTCACACGGGAGAGAAGCCCTTCGAGTGCGCCACCTGCGGGAAGCACTTCATCGAGCGGTCGTCCCTCACTATCCACCAGCGGGTGCACACGGGGGAGAAGCCCTACGCGTGCGGGCACTGCGGCAAGGCCTTCAGCCAGCGCATGAACCTCACGGTGCACCAGCGCACGCACACGGGCGAGAAGCCCTACGTGTGCGACGTGTGCGGGAAGGCCTTCCGGAAGACCTCGTCCCTCACCCAGCACGAGCGCATCCACACCGGGGAGAAGCCCTACGCGTGCGGGGACTGCGGCAAGGCCTTCAGCCAGAACATGCACCTGATCGTGCACCAGCGCACGCACACAGGCGAGAAGCCGTACGTGTGCCCCGAGTGCGGGCGGGCCTTCAGCCAGAACATGCACCTGACCGAGCACCAGCGCACGCACACGGGCGAGAAGCCCTACGCCTGCAAGGACTGCGGCAAGGCCTTCAACAAGAGCTCCTCCCTCACCCTGCACCAGCGGAACCACACGGGCGAGAAGCCCTACGTGTGCAACGCGTGCGGCAAGGCCTTCAGCCAGAGCTCCTACCTCATCCAGCACCAGCGCTTCCACATCGGCGTGAAGCCCTTCGAGTGCAACGAGTGCGGCAAGGCCTTCAGCAAGAACTCCTCCCTCACGCAGCACCAGCGCATCCACACCGGGGAGAAGCCCTACGAGTGCTACATCTGCAAGAAGCACTTCACGGGGCGCTCGTCGCTCATCGTGCACCAGATCGTGCACACCGGGGAGAAGCCGTACGAGTGCGGCGAGTGCGGCAAGGCCTTCAGCCAGAGCGCGTACCTCATCGAGCACCAGCGCATCCACACCGGCGAGAAGCCCTACAGGTGCGGCCAGTGCGGGAAGTCCTTCATCAAGAACTCCTCGCTGACGGTCCACCAGCGCATCCACACCGGCGAGAAGCCGTACAGGTGCGGCGAGTGCGGGAAGACCTTCAGCCGCAACACGAACCTGACGCGGCACCTGAGGATCCACACCTGAGCGCCTCCGCGGGGCCGAGCCCGGGTGGGCCGGATGCTTCCTCCCCGCGGAGCACGGGGGCGCTCGGGGCGGAGGCGGCTTAGCAGTGCGGGATTTGCGGAGAGGCTTCTGTTTCACACGTGCCCCTCACAGAGCGTCAGAGCAAGCCCCTCAGAGTCTCACCTATTTGGGGACGTTTGAAGGCTCACGGTCCGCTGAGCCGGGGTTGCTGGTAAGGGGAGCTCAACCGTAGGCCATCAGGGCTCAGACCCTGCTGTCTGAGCAAACTATCCTAAGAGCTTGGGCCTGTGGGCGATGCCTCTGGGCCTCACTTCCTCAGCAGTGGAGTGGAGGCGGCAGGGGTGTGGGGAGGTGGGCTCAGACGGCCGTTGGGACGTTTCTCCCTTCGTGGTGTGGCCTGGAGCCCAGGTGTAGTTTGCCACCATCTGTGAGTTTCCTGGGTGGGTTAAGGGCGCGAGGGGCTTTCTCTCCTGCCCCAGTCTCCCTGCAGTACGTGCTGGAAGCCACTAGGCTAGTAAGTGGTAGAAGTTTGCAAGTTGTTTGTGAGCGGGAAAAAAAATTTTTTTTCAGAGTTAGCAAATAACAATAACTACTGCTTCAAATGCCAAAGTTTCTTAGAGCGGTCTCTTACATTTTTTTTAAATAAAACTTTTAATTAAGGGAGACCATGTCATTTTAAACAGTCTTTTGGGTGTGAAAGATACAGATACCTGTTGTCCAGTCTATTGTGGTGGGAGCAGGATGGAAAACAAACACTAGCAGGTTCAATGTTCAGGTTTAAATACTGGGTTCAGTAAATATACAGTCTGCCCTTTTATAGTTATTTTTGCTGTTAAATGCGAAGGTAACTGTCTTAGTCCATTCCTGCTGCTATAACAAAAGACCTTAGACTGGGTAGTTTACAAACAATAGAAATTTTTGTTCACAGTTCTGGAAGCTGGTAAGTTCAAGATCAAAGCTCTGTAAATTTGGTGTCTGGTGAGGGCAGCATTCTTCGTAGATGGTGCCTTTTATGTGTGTCCTCAGGCGGTGGAGACGGGCAAGCAGGCTCCCTCGGACCTCTTTTATAAGGGCTCCAATCACCTCCTAAAGGTCCCATGCACCTCTCTATTCTGTTACATTGGGAATTAAGTTTCTAAACATGTGAATTTGGGAAGGACATCGACATTCAGACCGTATCAGTAATTTCGAGTTTCCCAAGGCTGACTTGAAGCTTTGTTTACACATGGAGTTTCCCCCAAAGTCTACTTTCTCTGGGCTGTCTTTTTTATTTTGACATTTGATACTACTGGTTGCTGACATTCTGGCATTTCCATTTGTTTCATACTTTGTGACACCAAGGTACATGAAGAATAAATAATTCAGTTTTAAAAATCATTTATATTAGCAAGCACACTTTGCAAGTAGGAAAAACAATCACTCTAGAATGTATAAACAAGGCAGACTGTTTTTTGAATATCTGGGAGTAGGGGGGGCATCAGGGTGGGTTTGACCCAGGCACTCGTCATTGGAGCCACAGCTCTGATGCTCTGTGATTCTCTTGCTCTCCCTTTATGTGCTGGCATCATCCTCAGGCTGGCTTCCCCCGTGGGATGAGGGCGGTTTCCAGCAGCTACTAGACAACACATTTTCTCAGTCACAACCAGATGGAGAGAGAAGACTTCTTCCAGTCATTGGAGAAAAAGAAAAAAAGCCCTAAGTTTCATTCCGTTGGTCTCATGCATGAACCAATTGCTGTGACTGGAGAGATGGCTTAGGTATGGGTCTTGTTCTCATCCCTGAAGTGATAGCGATGGTAAGGAAATGGGATTGATTGCCTGGATTGGCCCCAAACCATCGTCTGCCTTGATGTGGGTGTGGGGTCAGCTGCACCAAAATCACAGTAGGGGAGAGGTGGGATGATGCAGGGAGGGCGACCCTGAAGTCCACCCCATCGTGGGTTAGAGTCCAATGGTTGCTCATTATGCTGATTTTGTCGTGAGATCTTGCATGTAATGCTTTCTGTGGGGAGTCCTCTCATTGCCATAAGATGAGACCCTCAGTCTCACTCTCCTCTGTGCTCCCTTAACCAAGAGGTGGGCAGGGCAGCCTGAGTCCTCGGTCCCAGGCCAGGTTGGAGGAGGTGGTGGCTCTCCACAGTTGGGCCAGCAGGTGCCCAGAGCAGCCAAGGAGTTCAGCCTCCCCTCTGCTTGTATGTGTGTAGCTAACCTGCCTGTGTGTCCACGCTTCTGTGTGTCACTGAAACTATCTCTGCAGGGGGTAGATGGGAGAGAATGGGGATCATAAACTGTTCTCATGACTGAAGTCTACAATGGCTCAAGCAATGGCGAGTATAAAGCGTGGTTGGATAGAAGGTGAGTGAAGAGGGTTCTGAGCGCAGCTGTGTAACCCAAGCATGTTTTATTAAACCCCTCTGTGCGGCGGTTTCCTCGTCCTGAAAATGGGAAAATAGTGGGACTCCCCAGAGTTTGGTTGATGGGTTAGTCGGATGAAGGCAAAGCTACAGGTGGACCCAAAAACAGAGGCTTAAAGAACAAACTCTTTTAAAAATCAATCTCTCTCTCTCTCTCTCTCCCCCCCTCTCTGTCTCTGTCTCTCGTTCATTCCAGCGCCAGTGTGAACGGTACAGGGCAGTGGGAAGCTTTGCTCTAGAGGCACAGGGTCATTTAGCACACAGGTCCCTTCCATCCTGTTGCATGACCATCCCCCAGGGACACTGTTGATACGGATTCTGGTTGGAGCTGAGTTGCCACCACATCCGTGTTCCAGCCATCAGGAGGGGGAAGAGCCCTTTGAGGAGAAGAGTGCAGTGTCTCCGGACCCAGATCAGAAGTGGCCCATGTCGCTCTGCTCTCCTTCCGTTGGCAGCCGCACAAGCCACGGGCTCCACTCAGACGTGGGGATGGCCAGGGAAATACGGTCTGCTGTACAGGCAGGAGGAAGCGGAAACAGCCTTCGCCTCCACCCGACAGACCTGTTGAACCAGGTCTTGTAGTCAGGAAGGGCCACGGGACGTGGCTCTTTCAGTGAAATAGCACGTGGAGCCCTGTAGCCTTTGAGGCTCTTCTAAGCTGTTCCGCCCTGTGCCTCCTCCTCTCCATCACCCGTGCCATCCCCTTCCCCGGCGGGGAAACAGAGGCACGGAGGGGCCAAGACCACTCGGTTCAAGGGCAGCGCCCCCCAGCCCCGCCCTTCCCGGCACTGACTCACCCGCGGCTCCGGAGTGGTGGCCGTGCATTGCGCCTGCGCAGAGTTCGCCTGCGCCAAGCGCGCCCCGCCCCTTCCGGCGCCACCGCGCGAGGCCCCGCCCACTCCGTCCTCCCAGACGCCTCCCCGGCACTGAGTAAGGCGGGGGGAAGAGGGGACGAGGAGGGGGGGAGCAGGAAAGGGAGGGACTTGGGAGAGAAGGGGAGGGGCTTGAAAGGAGAGGGAGGGTCTTGGGAAAGAAGGGGGAGGGGGGAGAGGAGGAGCTTGGAAGAGGACAGGGAGGGGAGAAGTGGTAAGACAGGGGTGAGACGGAGAGGGGCTGGAGGAGAGAGGAGGGGAAACTGAGTCAGGAGAGTGAGGGGAGCAGTGAGCGGGGGGAGAAGGGAAAGAGGGGAAGGAAGCAGGGATAAGAGGAAGAGGAAGGGGCAAGAGGGGAGGAGTGGGAGAGGCGGAGGGAAAGGAGAAGAGAGGGACGGAAGGGGAGACAGGGGAGGGGGGCCCAGCTCTGAGGTTAAACTGCCACGTGTCGTTGGACCAATGTCATAGTTTTTTGAGCCTCAGTTTTGAAAACGTGAAACCGGGGGGTTAATTTGATCAGGTCTGCCTGCCCTGCTTGCTTTTGGTCGCTTGCTTTTTGTTATTTTTTTTTCCTTTTTCCATGAAGCTGAAGGCCGTGCCTCTGCTGAAACCTAACCAACACTGACTACTTTCTAGATAACACTCATAAGGCACCTTG